TTTTTTTTTTTTTTTTTTGCGAACTTTGGATGGGCTTCTTTTCGAGGCTTCTTTTTCAAAGAAAATTAGGGGGTTGGGAAGCTTCTTTTCTAAATGAATGCTGTAAATTGCTTGTGTCCTTGGTGAAGGCACTTTATCTACGGTTGCCTCTCTCCACCCAGGAGTACAAGTGGGTACCTGTTAGGTTCGAACACATCTGCGCTGATTACTAGCTGCAATATTATGGAATTTTCCCAAGGGAGCTGAGTATGTGTTCCATACGTGTTTCCAATGACCGGGGTAGTAATGTAGAGTGCTTAGAGGCTTTATGCATAAAGCGCTTACAGTGGCGTAGAAAAGTATTTTTCATTGGCGTGTTAGCCAGTGTTGTAACAGGCGCGGGGGGGGGGCAGGTGGAAAACTGCCCCTCCCCTGACGGTTTTTACCGAGCTGACCAAGCCGTCGTACCGGGCTGAGAAAAGAAAGAGGGGAGAGGGAGGGAAAGAGAAAGAAGAGGAAAAGAAAAGGAAAGAAAAAGAAAAAGAGAAGAGAAAAATAAAGACAAGAATAAAAATGAAGATATCATAATGACCAGACTCACAACACCCTGCAACCACTTCTCCACTTCAAAAACTGTCATAACTCCTTTGATCTATGCTGCCCGATGGCGTAACCACTGGGGGACAAGGGGAAATATTTATCTTTGAAAAATCTTCCCCACCCCTTTATAAATGCCTTTTTCATCCCCTGTAAGTGCCTAAAAACCTTTCTTGTTTTCCTCTAAAAATTGCACATTTTAGGAAGTTTTGATCGATTCCAACGAAATTAGAATTAAAAACACCGGAGGACAAGGGGAAAATATCCATCTTTGGAAAATCTTTCTCCATCCCTTGACAAATGCATCCTCTGAAAGTGCCTAAAATTCTCAAATTCTTTGCGCGCATTTCCTGTTACGGTAGGCCAATTTACTCTATAGATTGCACATTTTAGGGAGTTTTCATCAATTCCGACGAAATTAGAATTAAAAACACAAAAATATTTTGCGCGCTCGCGCTCATTTTTTAGGGCTTTTTTAGGTTAATCCTTTTAAGTTATTTAAACACATAATAGTCTTAAACTCAAGAAAGACAAATTTAAGATAGATCGTTTTAACCTAAAAGAAGGGCCCCAATATGTATTGATGGTGAAAGAATAATATTCTATTATGTTTGTAATAAATAAAACCATGATGAAAACGCTTATATTTAGTTTCAAACACACGTGTGTGACCTATATTATAAATAAGATGCCCTATGTCATATTGTTTTCTATATGGGGAGTATGGTGGGGTGGGTATAGTAAATTACTAAACGGGAAAATAAATACCCACTCTGACCCAAGACCCCTGTTACACGCCTGGTGTTAGCGCCAATGTGTGCCCTTGTGCGGACAGGGGATGTGCCCTCTGAAGCTGGAAACCTTGTTTTTGTAAAATAAATTGATGCAATTTGCTATTATAGGCCTAATCAATAAATTCCTAATCAACCGATATACCGGTAACCTTAAACATTCTTGGAATTGACATAACATTACTGATGTCGTACACTCCCTTCAGTGTGAAATGTGGCTCTCTTTGCAAGCACATCTAACATCTAAGGAAAGAAGAGCTTAGATTGGTACCAGATAAAATAATTTTGTTATCAACATTAATACATTATGCTAATTTTCATCTTTGTAAGCGCATAAGACAGGTGCAAATTATTTCTGTGACTGTCTTTTGAAGTTTGTAAGGCTCCATTTTATCCCATACATAGTAAAATATTGGGGGAGATGATACAATGGACCATCACCCCTTGTCAAATATTGGAGGGGATATATCCCCCATCCCCCCGCAATCTATGCCTATGAAGCGCTATATAGGACCGACATATTATTATTATATTATTACATTTGCCTCTCTCCACCCATAAGAATAAATGGGTACCTGGTAGGATGATGTGGCATTGTATAGGCATTAAAAAACGACTAGGAATACTGCCCTAGGAAGTGGAGGAAGTTGCACTTTGTGCTGTTTTGACTATGGATCCGATGACCAGGGGTAATTAACAACATCGCCTTGTACCCTTTGGCAAAAGGAGAGGTAGAAATAATAATAATAATAATAATAATTATTATTATTATTATTATTATTAAATTGTGTGAATTACTACTACTTGAACAATAAATAGGGCCAATATAACATCAGTCTGTATCGTGGAGTGTATTAACCAGCATTAAATCACCTAAACTGCTGTATAAACCAAACGTTTTTTTAAATTTATTTTGTTTCTTTGAAATTCATGTACAGGGTATGTACTGTACTATCTCGAAAAGAAGCCCATGTTACCTTGAAATATAGCCCTGGACTTAATTCTATTCGAGGCTACTTTTACAAACCGAAGAGGGGGCTTCTATTTGAGGTTTTACAGTAGGCCTTGAAGTAAAATAAAAATTTGTTTACTTTCTACTATTATTTTTCGACGACTTAACTTTCTCTATATTCTTGATATATTTCAGCTTCGAAAATCACACATCGACCCACCACTTGGAGGTGAACGTAACTTCAACACAACACATCTGACAGCATATACTGCTAAAAAAGCAGAGCGCTACCAATATGACAGCGGAAAACTCCAGAAAAGTTCATTACCACTGGGAACAATGACGATATAAAACTTGCAAAAATCGTTATTGTTTGTTATCTTTGTAAAAAAATAAATAAATGCTTGAAATTGCTAAAACTTTTTTGTTTTGTTCTTCTTACCAAATCGTAAAACCATGAACTTTTTAGCTGTTTAAATTATTTACATATATAGAAAGTGAGGAACAAATAAAGTATTTCATTAATGCTTTAATTTAAAGTAATATTTTAATGCCTCTAATGTTATGCAAGATATGTAAATCTTAATAATCTTAATCTAAAGAATATGACAATTAGAAGATTACCAAAAAATTATTGTGAGGGATGGTCATACAATACACAAGTAGCTTATTTACAGTATTCGGGTCTACGCCCGTTGCACCCCGGCCTTTTTGCCACCCAGCCTTTTTCCACCAGGCCATTTGCCACCCGGCCTTTTGCCACCCGGCCTTTTGCGACCTGGCCATTTGCCATCCGGCCTTTGCGACCTGGCCATTTGCCACCATAAGCCCGTTGCCATCCTGCCCGTTGCCACCACCTGACCTTTTGCCACCTAGGCCCGTTGCCACCCTGCATTTTGCCACCCGGCCCGTTGTCACCCATAGGCCTTTTGCCACCCGGCCCTTTGACACCAGGCATGTGGCCACCCTAGGCCCGTTGCCATCTGGCCTTTTGCCATCTAGCCCGTTGCCACCTATAATGGTACAGTATAGTATTTCACTCTCGGCACATTTGCCACAATATGCATGTGCATTGGGACATTTCCCCGAATGGTATAAACAATCTGGAGGATTAGCGTATAGTTTTGTTTTTTTTTCCGCTAACGATGAGATTAATTAGTTAGACTAGATCTACCAACATTTATAAAGTTTATTCTTGACCTTATTTCTCATGAGAAATATGGCTTGTAATAAATCGTCCTTAAACCATGGAGGAATAAGTTTAAACCAAATGAGTGCAATAAAGTTCAAATAAATGAATTAATAATGTTTGTAACAACCACCATTAATATACACAACACATAGGTTTGTGGTTAAATACAAATAACTATTATTGTCATAAATGTGTTTTTTAATTGTAAAAATATACGAAAACTGGACACTACAGTATCACTTTCTTTATACGGATTGAATAAAAAGTAAATTTTAAAAAAATGCTAAGGTTTTTTTTCAATCGAAGTTGTGTTCTATTATAATGCCTTCGGAAGGAAGACGCCAAAATGGCATGAGCATTTTCTTGAAATTAAATTTAAGGCACTTGGTGAAGCTTAATTGGAGGGGTGTCAAGTCTTACTTTGAGAAAACGAAGTCAAAAATAGCATGAACCCCACATTAAATGATGGTAAGTGTATAATACGCCAATTGAATTGACGCCACGAGAATTAATTTATGGTCAATGGTCAAATATTTATATAGCGCCTTCCACAGAAAACCGTCTCAAGGCGCTTTTGAAGCCACAAGAAACAAAGACAAATGAACGCGAAGGTGGGGGGTGGGGGTGCGCACCAACGATTTTGAGATCGCCATCACTATACATGAATAGTGTGTATATTTGATGATTCGTATAGAACATCTCAAACAATCGAAAAAAGATATCTGAATTTCAAACAGGAAGACAACTATCGAGATTTGGTTCTTTAAAGGATACCTCAAGTTACAAGTCAAAATCAAAGAAATCCATCAGAAGTAAGATTAGCAAGATATTTTTGAGAACGCTGGAAGAACATCTAGGAATTTGTAGAACTCATTGAATGAATTGTTTCATGATGGTCAGTAGAATGTACATCAAGATTATTATCACTTTTGGCGAAATGTTTAATAATAATATCATCCATTGAGATAAAATTAGTAGAAATGGGTACCTGGTAGGATGTTGAGGCATTGAATGTACAGTACCAGTTTCGTGCGCTAAACTAGGTATACTCCCCAGGGAGCAAAGAAGGTTGCACTTTGTGCTGGTTTGCGTATGTTATCTAGTAACCAGGTGTAATAACGCTCATCTCCTTTGATCATTTAATTTGGAATTGGCGTATATATACATATTTGGGTATTAATATTAGATGGGTGGTAATTTGTTCAAATAACTCATATCCACAGCCTGACTCCTTCAGAAGTTTCGATAACGGAAAACAGGGTAGTCTTATTAAATGCCTCTGTTGAAGTTGCTGTAATAATTATTAATAGGTCTAGTTATTTGGTTTAGGGTAATACTTTCACCTTCCCACGATACACGATATCATAAAAGATTTAGAATGTATTGTTCTGACAAAATTTGGTTCATGTGTTAGATGGTTTTTCGAGGGGGTGTAGGGTCAGACCCAGCTACTTGGTTCATCGCATACTTTTTTTTTTCAATGACTGACAGCCTAACCATCATTACGAGGTAACCCATGGACCTGGTCAAACCTTCTTGGCAAAATTGCGTGAAATCTTCTGTTGATAGCTCTCCGACTATAAGTTGTCTTCCACACCATCATTCTTACTTTCACGAAGTTAAAAGTTTTTCTCGAGCAATTTTATATATACCCATTGATTAAATGACCGAATCATGTGGAACAATGTCAAAGGCCTCCTCTAATCTATCCAAACAAACTTCTTCATTTCTACAATCACTATTTCAGTACTGCCATTATGTTAAGTCGTCATTAAGTCGTCTCGTTAGATCTATGAAAAAATATGGGTGTACCTAGAAAAAAAATTGCAACACAGACTTTTTTTGCTCTATCTCTAAAACCTTTCCCGAACACTCTAATGAAACTTTTAGCATAAAATGACTGCAACTATGCTAATTTGCATAAAACAAAAATGGCCACCAGTTTGTCATGTATTTGGCAGTTCTTGGTAACTATTGATGCTAGAGATATAATTTTGATGTCAATTTACTCAGTATATGTATATTTATATACACTTTCATAAAACCTTTTAGCATAAAATGACTGCAACCAAGGTAATTCAACAAAAGGACGCACATCTCCGCTCTCGAACATAGCGCGTGCGTACAGTCCTTTGATCTTTACTGTGGCATCGACAATCCGAAACTAGTTGCGAGTACAGCCGTCAATTATTAGTCTATGCGTGCCATTCGTTTTATGGTGTTAGTTTTTATTTTATTAATTTTGGGTACTTCGCAATGTCTGTTACATTTGATTTTTTTTTTTACCGTGAGCTTGTTAAATGCTTCTATAAACTGCAATTTGATTTGTGAAAATTGACCAAGAAAATGAAAAGTTATAGCAATTCAAAATTTAAGAATTTTATAAAATTTAATGTTCTTATGTAACATTAATCTGTCATTTTGACAATGTTGGCATAAGGTGCCGAGGACGAACATTGGAGTATATACGGACCATTTATTAATTTTTTCTGCGAAGTGAGTCTCATGAACGACAATTCACCACAATTTTGGTAAAATTAATGTTGAAATGAAGAATATATTTCAGTCTAATGTTAGTGCAAAATATCATTAGGCCTTTGTACATGGCAACTAACACGCACGTGGGTAAATCGTCACGTACGCTGACGGTTTATGGTCTGGTTGCTATGGTTTTTGTGACGTTCAGCGTGTAGGGACGCACGTGCGCCTAGAATGTCGATGCCAGAGTTATAACCTTTGATGTCCCGAGATGTGCGTCCTTTTGTTGAATTACCTTGCTGCAACTATGCTAATTTGCATAAAACAAATATGGCCGCCAATTTGTCATGTATTTGTCAGTTAATATTAACTATTGATCCTAGAGATATAATTTTGGTGTCAATTTACTGAGAATATGTATATTTATATAGACTCTAATGAAACCTTTTAGCATAAAATTACTGCAACTATTAAATATGCTAATTTGCATAAAACAAAAATGGCCGCCAATTTGTCATGTATTTGGCAGTTCTTAATATAAGCAGTCTTTTTGCCCATGTTTGAACGCAGTACACTTTTCGGAAAGAGTATTGGATTGTCACCTGTTGCACTGCTCAATCACCACGAGAAGGACCACACTGAAATAAGTTTACACCGAATAAATCCAGTCATTGCAGTCGCCGCTTCCGACTTCGTTGCCGTCTTATCATCATTATTATAATTATTATCCTTGCCACACACGTCACCATCTCTGCCACTCTTATCGTCGTCGTCATCATTGTTATCCTCCGTCATTATCGCTGACGTCTGCGACGTTAACACCATTCCCAGAGCCGGCTGAACGTTTTTTAAATTGTGGGGGGGGGGCACTCAGGCCCGTAGCCAGGTCCTTCCAAGGGGGATTTTCTGGGCGTGAGGTCCACGGTCGAAGCCCTGGTGGGGTCGCCGAAACCCCAAAGCAAGACGATTTTTGTGCTGTATGGGTCTAAATAATGCTATAAAAGCAGATATGTTTGAAAAAGTCTGTGTCTGGGTGGGTCTGCAGTGCATTTGTTGGGTTGGAGGACTTATTTGGGAAATCTGAAGAGGGGGTTTCGCCATAAAAGAGGGGGGTTGCTAGAAAAGGGGGTTCTCCCGAACCTTACCCCCCCCCCCTGTCTCTTATACACATCTAGATGTGTATAAGAGAAAGATACGGGCCTGCCACTTATAAGTTGAATGGGAGTATGAATCATGCAGATCTGGAATCAAATCTAGGGGGTGGGGTCAACATTTTTCCAAAACACGAAAGGGGATCCAGGGTCTTCCCTTTGATTTCTAGATGGCGGGAAATGCGCTTTTCTGACATCTGAGGTGCGTTTTAATGACATTTATGTTCTTCAAAATTCTAATTTTCTTATTGTAACGAAAAAAAAAAAAAAAAAAAATCAGCTTACTGGTCCTGTAGGTCTAAACTTTTTTTTTGCTGCCCAAGGGAGGGGTCAGAACACATGACCCACTCCCCCATATCTGCCAATGTGAATTGCGAGAAAATTTAACTCGGTCTGGGACTGGATAAACATTCTCTTCCCTATCCTTCTCCTTCCCTCTTTCTTTTCTTGCATTTCTTTCCGATCATACACAAATCTTGCAGACATTATATATTTTTTGCCAAAAAGTGGGGGAACCGCCCCTCCCGCCCCAAATTCCGCCGGCCATGATCCCCATCATAATTGCATATATTGTATGCAATATATATGAGTGTATTCTCTGTTCTACAATATACAACAATCATTTGGCTTTTTAATACAGAATCACTATTTTTTTCTGTATTCTGTTTGCTTTGTGTTTTTTCCAGGCAAAGTGATCAGTAAAAGTGAATGCCGTTAAGTGATTTTAAATTTAAATCTACTGTAGTGTAATTGATAAAGGATGCACTGTCTGTCATGAGCTAATGCATTAGACATTTAAACTGGCTGATAATTTATTTAAGAAATGTAGAAAAGCGTCTGTAAATCAGTGAAAACTATTTTTCATGATCTGTTTCTGGCTGGAGATCAATAACTTATTTTATCTTTATAAATGAGCTTTCAAAGATTTTAAATTGAATGTTTGAGGTATTTTATGATTTTTGTGGATGGCAGAGTGTTTCTTTGATTTCTTATTTAAAAGCCAATCTTTGATGATGAATATACTTAATTTATTTAGCTTTTTTCGAACACCACATCAAGAAATAAAAAAAAATTTAGAAAACAGGTTACTATACTATGGAATCTATAAAGTCCATACATCCTAATGTATAGTATACAATAACTAGAAGCCGAGTCAGGGTTGAATCATGGCATAGCTGAAAAATATTGTACAGTAGTAATAATATTTAAAGACTAGTTGAATATTAAATGGTCCATACAAGTATAATGAACCTCATTTGACCATATAAGACACATATATGAAATTTTACATAAAATGGAGACATAGACTAAGTTATTATGAGGATGAAAACTTAAAGATTGATGACCTCATTAATGAGGATAGACGACTGCAAATTTAAGCTCATCATTATTCTGTTTGAAAAACTAATTTAATTGAAACATTTTGCAATACAAGTGCAATAATTTAAAGCAATCTTGAAAAATTTCGTCTATTGTAGAGCATTTTTACATTATAGAGATTTAGGAATCAAACATAGAAATGATATCCAAATGAAGCCTTGTTTTTCTCTTTATTTGGTGCAAGGAAATACAGATCTTCAATGCAAGGCTCAACCCATCGATCTGTGTTGTAGACACTTTCACCAATATTCCATCCTGGTACATCTTTCATGATAATAGCCTCCTGCTCCTGGTTGAATTTCAAACGTTTAAGAATACTAGAAAGAGAACCAAAATGAACAGTAATAATAACAATAATAATAACAATAATTTAAACTCCATTCTTTTATAGCACATTCCGCAGGAAACAGCCCCATTGCGCTTTACAAGAAACAAGCTATAAATAATTTTGACTTAAGCTATGATACTTAAACTAAAATAGTTGCGAAATAAATGGGCGCTATCGGTATAGGTATCCAGAACAGGGCTCCTCCAACAGGTGTTGAAACATCTTTACTGTCAGCAGTAGTCCGTAGTAGCAATACAAATTATTTTAATCATAGTAAATTTTGCATCATTTTCTGATAAAAAGGACAATGTGGTCAGACACTGTATTTATTTTTTCTTTTGGCAACAAGGAAATGAAAAACAAACACCCATACTTATCCCCTCTATTTTATCTTAGTCTGACTCAGTTCCTCAGTTCTTTCACTGTTAAACACCACCAGGACATTTCAGCCTATCATCATAATTCAGGGGCCTATTTTAGCTTATTAACAACTGCTGCTTACTTTTTCCTAGTTTAATTCTCCAGGATATTAGCTTCTTTAAAGTTGGCTTGGCATGAGCCACTTTAAGAGACACAGTTTTAGGACTGTCCAAAATCATGATCCATAGACAAAGGGCTGGTAAAAAGACACTGTGCAACCGTCAGCCAGACAGACATTCTGGTTTGTGGATCCTGGGTGTACTGTACACTGTGAGTTCATGATATTTTTTGACAAACTTTGTTTTCTTTTATTAACATCCAACAATACGGTTTTGTCACTGGCATAGCATGTGTTCAATTTCTCTAGGTATCTACTAGATTTGATAATGTAACTGTCGTTCTGCTCTTAACCAGAGAGTATATAACTGCAAGAGGTCCGACTGTTGGGCATTTGTTGGAACGCAATTCCTATCCTAAAAAAAATTCCTATCTTGTGGTAGTACTATTTTTAATGTTTCATTACGTGCAAACAGAATCAGGGTAGCCAGACCTTTTGATACTCTTTGCCTTCACTGTCTGGAAGGATGCTCAATAAATTCAACCAAAACTGCATATTCATTAGTCAATAAGGCCTACAGTTTTTATCTTTGGTACATAACAGGAAGAAGTAAAATCAAAAGCTTAACTTGCAAACAAGATGAAAATTGTATTTCATCAACATTTACTAAATAGAAAATAATTGACAAAAATATCAGAATATAATAGACTTACTCTCTATCAGTTTCAACTTCAATTAATGGCATTATTGCTAGGTAAGCTTCCCTATCTTCTTGTTGCAAACGTCTGTATTTAAATAAAAATTAGCTTATTATATTTTTTTTTCTCATACTAAACATAATTTTAAATGTAATTATGGAGATAAAATTTGAAAAAAACCCCATAAACTTTAATTAAAACTTTGAATTTCTCATATAAAGGTGAAAAAAGTTATTAACTTTGAATAGGGCTTCACATTGCCTACGTCTAAAATCTGTCTGCAGAGCATGATGGGACTGATTTTATCAACCATGAATGCCTGCATTTTAATTATAAACTTGGCCATTGTTCAATTAGGGCCTAGCTTAAGTCTAGATACTGTAGGCTTTTTTTTAATGAAAGAGAGGCTTGGTTGGAAAAATTCTATACATTATTATTTACTTTAATTATTAAAAAGCATTCAGTAACTTGTAAGTTTTTATCTTCTTATTTTTATGAATATTTTATCATCGTTTTTGTTCTTTGGGCAGATGAAACCATTTGGTAATAGGAACTTTATTTCCTTTTTCATCTGACCCCTTCCTCTGTATGTTTGTTCCATTGATGTTTTTTGAAGAAATAAATATATTCTTATTTATTTTATTTTATTCTTAGTTATCGCTGTGGAGCCTGAATGCTAGCTAGCTTTGCAATAGGCCTGACACTAGTAGATAAGTTCGGCAGCCTACACATGCACCGACAGCAAGGGTGATGCAAATCTATTTTAACAAATACAGTATGCACGAATTGCAAAGCAATTGTTTTTGTTATAATTTTTTTTCCTTTCCTTCCTGCATTATTATAGTTTTCCCTATCTTTTTGCAGTGTTTTTCTGCCTTGCACTTTAGTCACTTTCCTGCTCGAATCTTTTCCAAACTTTGTCCAAACCCCATACCATACTATATACTAGATGTGCCGCGTAAAATTTAGTGACAATCTGGAGTGGGGTGCGGATGTGAGGACCAATTAAAGTGATTTAAAGGCAACCATTTCATGCCAGATATCTATTTTAAAAACGGATCACCTGAACCAAATAAAACTTTTGGGAAAGTTAACCAAGTTATGAGGACGAAATTATTTTGATGACAATCCAGTTGGGCAATTTCATAATGCAGAGTGATTTTTTGTAATTTTTCATACTTATCAAATCCCATCAAGTTTGTTATCAAACTAAAGCTCATTTTATATAGAATTAAGATCTAAATCAATATTTTGGTATTTCAATGGTATAATGTGAAAAAAATGATCCAAATACATAGTATTTTTAAATTTTAAAATATAGTAAAAAATAGCTTACTTAAATGCAATTATTATGCAGAATGTATATGTTGGAAAATTCTAAATTCATGTTATTTTACAAAAGAATAGGTACTATTATCATTTTTAAAGGTGAAAATTATAATTTTTAAATAATAAATTATTTTTTTTGTTTTTTAAAAAATTTGGTTAATTTATGTGATTCCGCTACCAAAAAAGTGATTTTTTTTAAATTCCTCCAAAAGTATTGATTTTTCAAAAATGAAAGTACAGGTGATAATAGACTACTGATAGATGTATCAGAAAATAATAGGCTTTAAATAAATTTTTTTATATATTTTTAGAAATAAAGGTTTAAAAAACGTGATTCCGCTACCAAATGTAGTATCGGAATGACGTGTATTTCCGCTACCAAAATATGCTACCCACTAAGATAGCAACAAAATTCAACTTCTTTCCAAGTATCAAATGGATTAACAAATTTCAATGGTTAAATGATACAAATAAACAATAATTAAAGCTTGGATCAACTTTGTTGTTCAAATGCAAGTTTAGGTATGGGAAAAGGGCGAGGTGTACTTTTCTCAGAAACTTCCAATAAACTTTCTACTTTAGAGTTTTTGCATCAAAGAGGTACTTGTTAATCAAATAAATTTACTTATAATAAACAACTTATTTAAATTTGTTCAGTTGGTTTTTACTCCACCTACTAATTTTAAGTGCTTGCTATTGGCTCACAAACCAGTGACGAATGTATTCTTGTGCATCTTAAAGAATACTGCATCACTTGTTATTTTTTTATCATTGAGATCGCACAAGTACCAAAATGCCATTAACTGCTGCAGAGAACTGATGCTTTGTGATGTTTTAATGCTTCCATGTACACAGAGATTGACCATTAACAATAAATAATAATTTTAATTAATTTTAATTTTGTGAAAATTCACATGCTGCTTTTGTGTGTTGTTAATATCAAGCCCGTAGCCAGGGGGGTTCGTTGGGTTCAAACGTACCCCCCTTTTCATGAAGTGCCCTTTCAACAAAGGCTGGTTAGCCTACACTTTAGGCCTAGCCTAGAGCCTATCATCATTAAAAGTCCTAATTTAATACCCGATTGTTAGGCCTACCTAGTAACATAATAAAAAATGTGCTATATAAATAAAAAATAAAGAATAAACCATACTGGATTCTTTGGAGTTTGTATCATGCTACTGTTGTTAAATTACCAATACTGTACTGTAGTACTAAAGTAGTAGTTTTTTTGTTTTTTTTTTGTTTTCTATCTTTTCCCAACTCAAAAAATTACCTCTTTAATATATACATTTTTTTTTTTTAAATGGCCTCTCAAATCAATTAAATAACACCTGTAAATGCTGAGAATGCTGGAGCTTCCAGGGTTTTGGCCCTCGACCCACCGGGGGCCCTTGGCAGCCCCCTGGCCCCAGCCAATGGTGCTCGCAAGTGCCCTTTCAGTATCAAAAGGAACCCCCCTACCAAAATCCTGGCTACAGGCTTGAATATACTTAAGAATCAAAAGTAAATTATAGCAATATTCCAATGTCATTCCGCTACTGTCATTCCGCCACCATAATTATATTCATAAATGATATTATATATTTGATTAAGTTAAATAATTAAACAACTAAATTTCTCAGAATGTTTTTAAGTATAGATAGGCAAACTCTAGACTAAAAATATAATGTTATTGTGTTTTGGCAATTACAGTATAAACAATCCAATATTTTTATTAATTTTCATAATTTTTATAATTGTGTTTGAGACTTGATAAAGTAAAATAAATTTTGTTTCAAATACCAAGTGAATTGCTTCAGCATTGTTTTCATAAAAAGTGAAAGATTTTACATTTAGTCAAGAAGGTTTTTCATGAATATTAATTTCAAATGCACTTTTATCAATGGTCATTCCGCTACTGTGATTCCGCTACCAGACATGGTCTTATATTTTTATAAATATCTCCAAAACTATAAACATTTTTAAAAATCAATGTTTTGCATTCAATACTACACTAAATTATAATAAACTGAGATGTATTCAATTTTTAAATCACTTTCATAAATCAGAGGGTTTTAGTAAAATGTGAAGTGGTAAAAATAGAGGGTATTTTTTTTGTCTTTCCGCTACCATACATATTTTTTGATATTATGTCAAAATTGTGATAGGTTTTTAAAAAAAACTAGGGTAGAAATTATAGATGGATTCCATAGTTATGTAAATATGATAATTATTCCAAGAATTAGAATGGAGTGTAAATATGACATTAGATTAAAGTTAAAAAGTTCAGCAAAATAGTGATTCCGCTACCATGAAATTGCCCAGTTTAATTTCTGACATTTTTAACCAAATATCTCTAAAAACTTGTTAATGGATCTAAATTAAACTTTCTATAATAATTTTTAATGGTCCAATGAAGAAATGATTAAATTTTAGTGACGATCCAAAGTAGGGTGTGGATATGAGGAACGTTTAAAGAATTATACTGGACAGTAGATTAAACTATATACAGTATAAACACAATTTGCGTTTTCTAAAGCGTTTAAAACAGCTGCAGGTAGGTTCAATGCAAAATTAGGCCTACCGTGATATGCATTAACAATTTTTGCTTTCAATCACTGAATTATTATGAACTAAAATGCACTGACCTACGCAGGGTGGGCTCATACAGTGCATAATATTTACGAGTCTCCATATCACCCTCACTATAATTGCAGCTTTAGTTTGAGTCTTACTACAGGGAACCTGTACCATTTTTTTTCCTCCTTATATCCCATTTTACTATGTTTTTGCACAGGGCTTTCTGTCTGGCACTTCCCATGCTTGGATCTTTGAACTTTGTCAAAGCAAATATCATACTCTATAACAAAAATGTGCATTAAAATATGATATTATATTCTACATACTTTGAATATGGTACTGTAATTAAACTTTTATATTAACACAATTTGTGTTTGCTAAAATGTTTAAAACTAGATAACTGTAGAGCTAGGTTAAACACAAATTTACTGTTAAATGAATGAACAATTTTCACCCTTAACTTAGAGAATTATGCTGAACTAATAATACAGTGGCATCCACAGAGTTGGGTTTTTAGTGTAATGGTAAGAATTCTCAACAACACCTTCGCTAACCAATTTCCAACCATAGTTTTCACTGACATGGAGTTGGTTTCATGTTTATATTTTTTTACTTCATAATTTTCTTTAGTATGATTTTATTTTAGTTTTTATGTTTTTTTTTATTCATATATTTCTTAAAAAACATCATTATGCTAATATTTTTATTCCCTCTGGTATCACCCGAGAGATGTAGTTATGGTGGGCAGGGCCACCCAGCCTTGAAGTTATCCACCCAGTCCAAAGCTAATTTCATGGCACCCCTTATCAACCCACTTTTTTATCCTAAAAATCCACTCTATTTATTTATAGTTTACCAAGGTTATCACGCACCCACCCTCAAACTGTCTATCACCCACCTTTATTTTTATTCTTCAGCTACATCCCTGTCACCCAGTACAAAAAGAAGGCACATACATACTGTAAATTTGGTTGTAATTTCATTGCATACAACCGCAATAATAGGATAAAAATTTAATTTAATAATTTTATTACAATAATAATAATAATGATAAATATACATATAATTGATATTTATTTATTATAATAATTATAATTTAATGATATTCATAATTATAATAATAATTGTAAATGTCATTTTAATTTAATCGTTTTACAGTTTTTGATGTCTTTTATAATTTCACCATCATTTCTCATTAGATTAGAGAGCCCGCTGCCCGCCAAGGATGATTTCGAATAAAAGCACACCCATCGCTACCATACAAATAGAAATTTTATTTATTTTCATTACACCTGCCTCTGCCTTGAAATGTATATTTCTTCCTAATTACAGTATATCAACTTATAAGAAAGCAAAAAAGCCTCCCATTACTTCACTGTTTACATTCACCAATAACATTTAATTTTCCCTTCCTTCTGGACGGTTTTGGCAAAACTACAGTATTTGCTATGGAAACAAAATATTACCTTCTATGTTTGTTGCCAATTTTCAACATTATATATCCAGTAGCCATGATGGCAGCACATCCAGCAAACATGGCATATCCTACAATCAAAAGAAGATGATGAAATTTTAAAAAGCACACAAACCAAGTATAAAATTCAGCCAACAAAACTTGTTAAAAAGTCTGTTTTTTCAGCAACATGGAAGCCACAATGTTGGCATTCAGTAGCCCAGTCTATTGAAAACTGTAATTTATGTCAAATTCACATATTGAGATTTTCTTGTCTAAGTACGGTATTGTAGTGACATAAGACACCATGATTGATGACACATTGCTTCGAACATCCCAAAATGCCACGTCTGGACCAAAAAATGGCCCTTTATTACATTTTGTAATGATTTATTGAACTTACTTTAACTTTGGGTATACAAATGTTTTCACTAAACAAAAATCCCATTCTGGAATGCAAAAATTTTAGTTGTTAACTTTTCAGAAAAAAACACAACTGCATTTTCTGGAAAATTCATTATGGGAATGGACGACAACCGCTATTTCCTTAGCTGCTTGAATTAACAGATTTTGGAGACAAATTATGCTGGAGCAACCTAACAATTTAGCTAATATGATAAATGTTTCATCATGTGTTCTCTCAAGATAATTTGTAAGTACACAAATCAATCACTATTGAAACTTTAAAGTTATCAACAATATGGGTATCGCCAGAACCATATAAAGAACATTGTTTTAATTACCATATGAGAGTTTCCTGTGTTAAAACATGATTTACTATACTATACATCTTTATAAAACATATTAAACTTGTACTATATAATAAGAGAAATCTGTATATTATCAGTATCTGGAACAGTAACAACACGAAAGTGCTATGCTACCTGCACTGTAATGCATAGGCCTATTTTAATACACTACTTAAGGATAGGCTTTTCTTTTTCCATCTTGATTTCTGCGGTCAAAAATATCAATTTTTTTTCAATCATATAGTGGTGTAGATTAGACTTTTAAGAACATTTTGCTGGAAAAAATTTTTGAATACGACGCCCCGTTACGTTTTTTTTAATTTCTGTTGGTTACGCACCGCTGATTCGCAATGTGTGTCATCACTTCAAGATGTCTACCGACTCGTGAAAAAGGCCTATCAATGCCTACAACAAGCATTCATTCTTTGTTTGGGACATGTCATGAGGTGGATCTGCCTCAGCGAGATATCCTGACTGAAGGAGTGTGCTGAGTAAAGAAGTAGGCTAGTAGGCCTAGTGTAGTAGAAATCCCAAACCCTCCCCCTCCTCAGACTCAGTCAGCCTGAGTCTCTGAGTTTCACTATAACAACTCCCTGGTCTCTCAGGCATACAATACAAGCCCTTGCCCTGTGTGTCGGACAGCTTATTAGCCCCAGAGAATGTATCCTAGAGCCGCCACTGCCTACCAACAGTAGGGCCTAGGCTTACTTTCGCAGACGAAACTGTCCTAGGCCTACACCACCGCGTATGTGTAGGTAGGTATGCCTAGCATCGGCTAGCTAGCTGGCTAGGCCTATAGCATTTGCTGACCTTCAAGAAGTAAGCCTAGGTCTTTATTTGCTATTCAACAAGGTTCTTCATACCTGAGAATCCTCTTTTCGGTATATGTCGCTTGTAGTCAATTGGTCCGTATCCCCCTTTTGGGGGCAAGTCTTGCCTAAAAGAGGTTGCCATCTTGAAGTGTATGTTTGAAACATGAAGTTAGTACGCCCTCAATGGAAGTTTTTGGCGATGCACCAAAGGTCTTTAGCCGGGGGCGGATATGACATTTTTTTAGTCCCCAAGACGTGCACTTCTGGAAAGAAGCAGGAAACTTTGTCCTAGGGGGTTTTTGAGCATGCCAATTCCAAGAATTTCGGCAACCACGATGTCACTCCAACCGTACCCACATTTTTGCAGTTTAAATGCTCTAAGTGTCCACATTACCATAATCTTGGTGTCAATACCTATGTTCTTTGGTTCAAGGAAGTCAGTAAAACATTATTAAAATACAATAACGTACTTTATCGTGAAAATGCAAAATTTAATAAAATATTCAAAATGGCCGCCAAGAAAACACAGTTTTGGCAGTTTAAAGGCTCTCCAAGTGTCATATTACCAATCTTGGTGTCAAAACCTATGGTTGTTTAGTTCAAGGAATCCATAAAACACCATAGCATACATCTTTATTGCGAAAATGCAAAATAAATATTCAAAATGGCCGTCAAAACACATTTCTAGTATTAAAATGACTGTATGCCCTAACTACCATGACCTTAAGTGTCCACAGTAATGCTTTATATCAAATAATCCAATTGATCATATGAAGTAATATTATATATAAATATAGGGCCGATAATACCTGTCTCTTATACACATCTAGATGTGTATAAGAGACAGGTTCACCGACTGTCTTTGTCTTGGTTATTAACAGCTGTTTTATATTGCATATTCAGCCACTAAACCTGAGGCCGAGGTGGGTGTGAACTCTCAAGGAAGTGGCCGTTCCAAAAATTTCCACCTATACTTTGTAGAAGAAATTACACCACCGCTGCCACAAGCTAAAGTGTAGCACCACAAACTAAACTAAATGTGAAAAATACAAATGGATAAAAAAGCGTTCCTTAATCCTAACTCCCATTTGAGCATTTTTTATTTGAGGAACTGACACTGAACACGCGAGGCCGAGGTAGGTGTGATCTCATAGACAAGAAGCCGTCAGCACTGTACAAAGGACTTTGAATCTGGTATGAAGAGATGCATACTGCCTTCCGTGTTTTGTAAAACTCCTTGTAGCTACTAGTATATGCAAAAGCTGAGTCCTCGCTGAGAGGTTTATCCACCAATTTTTTTTTTATTTCTCGTAGTTTACACCAGAGGTACGTTGCTGTAGGTAATATGAAAGGGTTTTTTTTTTCATAGGCTGAGTAAGATGGTAAGATATATCTCTTGTGGCCGGATATCCTTTTCCCCTGCACATCCTGCAGTGGAACTACTTGTCATTTTCTTCAAACCAGTCTTTGATTTTCCTTGTGGAGAACCCTTGGACTTGGGTTCTGGTGGATATCAGTTTTCAGGTTTGACAAAACAATCATCTGGACAGTTTGCAGTGTAACTTGCATAAAGCTTTGATTGAAGTTTCACCTTGATGTCAGCTTTCATTGCAACTGACTGGAAATTGCCAACCTGAAACTTCTCCCTTTCAGTGTTTCGAGGATGTTGACCTTGCCATCTGTGGGGTGTGCCATCTGTGGGGGTGTTCTGTACGAGGCTGATCAGATCAGTGTAAAACTTGCCCTTAGCGTCAGCTTGAACGGTCGGGGCATAAATGTTGACGAAAGTAACATGATGCTTGCTTTGAAGTGAGACACGTGGAGATGATGCGATCGCGAGTGACCAGTTGTTGTATTATTGATTTTTAGTTGAGTTGAGTTTCTCATCCTATTTTATTTTTTTATTATTTTATTCCTTTCAGCCAGAACTACAAAAAACAAAATCAAAAAAGAAAGAGGAGGGCAGAGGGAGGAGGGCTGAGGAGAGGAAAAAGCGGTACAAAAACTACTATCACCGGATATGGTGTGCCCTTCCAGATCCAAATTCAATATTATTAACTAATATTGATATTAATTTTATCAAAAATATATAAATATTAAAATATATAAATAATTAAAAAAATTAAAAACAAAAATACAGTTGGAGGAAAAACAATTAACAATCCCATGAACGAAATTGTCTAAAATAATGTTTAATTTTCTCATAGGAAATGCCCCAGCTGTCACAAACAAAAAGAATCTTTAATATCAATAGGTAAATTATTCCATATTCTCACGAAACGGCCAGGAATGCTGTACTTAGCAGAATCTGTATTAGCCCGCAAATGGATAAAAAAGAGTTTATTGACACGATAACTACTGATTTCGATCATGGACCTGTTACGATGTTATCGAGAACAACAGAATCATGTACACAGTTATAAAGAAGTCTACAAACAAACAGTACGGTAAAGTATTTCCTATTAGCTTTGGTTGTACAGAGATCAAGAGCCACAAGGCGGTTGTTATATGTATCCTCCTGTCTTTTTTGATGCAAGATGAATCTGGTAGCGCGACGCTGAATCAATTCAATTTTGTTTATGTTCTCTTTCCTATAGGGATGCCATACATTACAACAATATTGAATGTGAGGCAACACTAGTGATAAATATAGTTTAAGAAGTACAGGCGTAGCACAATTCCTAGCAACAGAACGCATGAATCCAAGCATTTTATAGCATTTAGAAGACACTTTTTCAACTTGCTTAGACCAAGATAGATTGTGTGAAATTGTGACACCAAGCAAATTAAGATGTTTGACATTTGATTGAATCTGTCCATTCATTGTATATGCTGGAACTGCAGGTGAGCGCTGACGAGATATTGACATTCACAACACTTAGCAGAATTCAATGACAACAAATTTGATGATGACCAACTTTCAAGACTATCAATGTCCTGTTGTAGGGTTACAAAGTCGGAGGGCGATCGAATGGTCATTGAAAGGAATGTGTCATCTGCGTATTGGTAAGGTTTATTATTTACATGAAGGTCGTTTACATAGACAGTGAACAACAACGGTCCTTACAGAAAAGTGATGTTAAAGCGACAGTCTATAATTCTTTAACGACGACTTATCATCCTTTTTATATATCGGAACAATGTTAGCGTGCTTCCAAGAAAATGGAAGTACACCGCTACATAGACTGTAGTAGTATAGATC